TCCTGAAGTCACTTGGCCAGGGAGTAACTGAGCTAGGATTTAAATCCAGTTCTCTATAACGCTCAGTTGAGTTCTCTTTCCACTATACCATACTACCTCAGGGTCGAGAGTTCCTAACAAAATAATGTCATTGATTCCTGGTGGCCATCTCCAGTCATCCTGATCTAGATCTTGCCACTGGACCCAGATGGCTCCAGAGGACAAAGTGAAGCTGGTGACTGCACAGCCTTCTGTCACTTAAATTCAACTCACTTGCAAGTCATGGCATCACCTCCCTGATGTCATGGCCCTCTTTGAGAAGGAAGGACAAACAACAATGACAATGACCCCTGATCTAACTCTGATGGTGACCAGGACTGCCTCCCCAGAAGGGGCTGAGTTGTGAGAAGAATGGAAAGCTAGTTTCTAGCCTGCATAAAATTGACCAGTTGGACAGACAGGCCTTGTTCCAGATAGGAGAATGGTAGGTTGCTTGAGTTACAAAAATCCAGCACTATCCTGGTTTCTGGTCCCTGCTCTAGGGACAGAAGCTGAGAATAAGCTCAGTGGTCACAACTCCTCAGTAGGCAATACCAGACTGTATCTGATTTTAGAGCTTCATCATCACTTGCTTCTCATACTTGCATGTGTCATATGCAGGCTCAGTGGCAAATAACTAGTATTTCTATAGCATGACCTGGATCACCATAAGCACAAGAGGAGAAGACCCACAACTAAACGTTTGGGTGTGTTCAAGCTTCTGCCAGGCTCTTGTTCATTCTTTTTCCATTGTCCTGACACCATGACTGGTTCAGAAAAGGAATATTATTACACCATAAGAAATAACAAGATGGACAGTTTCAAAGAAAACTGGGAAGACTCATATGAACTGATGCAGAGTAAAGTAAGCAGAACCAGGAAAACAATTTATACAAAAACATTATAAAGAAAAAACAACTTTGAAAGACTTGAGAACTCACATCAATGCAATGAAAAACCATGATCCCCAGAGAACTGGAGATGAGGCACGCAGAGTGCTAGACTCAGGACGCAGGATGAGATCTACGTTTTGGAATGTGGCTGAAGCAAGGATTTGCTTTGCTTGCCTATGAAGATTTCTTGCAAAGATTTTGTTTGTTTTTCAGTTGGGGAGGGGAAGAGGTGGAAGGGAGAGAAAAAAATGTCTCTCAGTTGTGAAAAATGAAATTAATTTGTTAAAAAAGATGTTACTGCCACAGGGGCAAGAAGCTTCCTTAAAAAAAAAAAAGCCTAGAAATTGTTTCCTTGTACACCCTAACCCCAGATGGGGAGAGAAAACATGGCCAAGTGCTCTGTATTCCTTGAGCATTTTAAGTGCTAAACCTGCATGATTTATTGATGTGAGCTTCTTAAGGCCTGGGAAATAATACAAAGAGTAATTCAATTCAATTCAATGAACACCTATGGAGCATCTACTGTGTTGCACAGCAGTGTGGGGAGATGTAAAGATGAATTAGACTCTGTCCCTGCCCCCTCCTGAGCTGCAAACAGTCCAAGAGAGGAGAGGAGATAAACACGGATAATTATAATACAAAGTAAAATGTATTAAGTATGTAATAAAGGGCTATACAAGTTCAGAGGTTAAATAGATCCTTTCTGGCTGGGAGGTCTTACACAGACTTCATGAAGGAAGCAATGTTTGAAATGTGTTGTGGAAGTCAGGTGGGATTTCCACTGGTGAAGACATAGTGAGGAGGGCATTCTGAACATAAGGAGAACAGCATTAAGAACACCATGGAAGAAGAAGAAAGGAATGGAAGGAGGGAGGAAAGAAGGAAAGAAGGAAGGAAGAAAAGAAAGAAAGAAAGCATTTAATAAGCACATACTGTATGTAAAGTGCAGTGCTAAGCAATAGAGATATAAAAAGAAAAACAAGACAGCCTCTGCTTTCAAGGTGCCCCCTTCCTAACACGGGAAGAGAACCCACAGAAGAGGTTTTATCATCAAGTCAGATGGAAGGACCCTGAGGTCCTTGGGATGTGGCAGCAAAGTAGATGGTCAGGAATCTTCTTTAACATTATTTCCACTGATAAAACCAGATGCATGTCTGACGTTCTATGGTTTAGCTATCCAGTTTGATGGTGCCGAGAGCTCCCTTTTCCAGATTTTGGGTCACTGTGACCACTGAGGAGAACAAAACAGAATCAAAGCTGCAATGGGCATGAAGACTAGAGCTTTATAAAGGAAAGCAACTTTTTTATTTATTTATTTTTTGGCTAGGCAATGGGGTTAAGTGACTTGCCCAGGGTCACACAGCTAGTAAGTGTTATGTGCCTGAGGCTGGATTTGAACTCAGGTCCTCCTGAATCCAGGGTCAGTGCTTTATCCACTGTGCCACCTAGCCGCCTCAGGAAGGCAACTTTAAATGGTGACAATACAGAGATCAAAAATATTGGACAACTTCAACACAAACTTATAAAAAAAAGAAACACATAAGATTGCTAGTTCTAAGTGGTAATCACTGCCTTATGTTTTTTGGCTGAACAGTGTAAGAGGTATGGATATATTCTTCTGGCAACCTACATTTCCCAGGGTAATTTAGCTCTCTTCATCCTCCTCTCTCCCCATATTCCTCTTTTCCATACACCACCAAAACTCAAAAACACCGATCAGTTATGACATTCTAGAGCAGGGGAGGGGAACCTTTGGCCTTGAAACCACGTGTGGCCTTCTAGGTCTTTGGGTGTGGCCCTTTGACTGAGTCCAAGTTTTACAGAACAATTTGTTCTATGAAGTTTGTATTTAGTCAAAGGGCCGCATTTGAGGACCTAGAGGGCCACAAGTGGCCTCGAGGGTGAATACGATGGAAAAGGGACAAAGGCATGGTGGCAATGGGAAGAAACAGTCCCTAGAGACAATCTGCAATTGTCCAGCCTATAGTGACATAACAGGAAGTCCTGTACTCCACCAGCCTGCAATGCTGTGTGGAGCAAATACAAATGAAACCTGAGTGGCAGAGGTGGGTGGCTGGAACAGAGCACTACTGGGAGCCATGGGGCCAGTGGAGGAGGCTAATGGCTTGACGTGCTTGGTCTATGGTGACCAGCGTTCTTTTCTTGGCCATCCACAAGTTAAGAGATACTAGTCTAGGCAGAGCAGCCCAGGCTCCAAGCTCTAGCATCTGTCCATAAGTTAACTGCCGCTGTCCCTGTCTTGTTATTGTATGAAAAGCCCTGGGTGGTTAATCCAGAGAGCCAGTGAAGACAATGCCACTGCTCCAAATACTAACCTAACACACCAAACCAACATCCTGCTATGAGTGACTTGTCAGTGCATTGCTCCTGGTGTGATATCAGGCAACTTTAGAGACCAGCACACCGCTAGAGAAAAATGGTATAGGGAAGAATTAGTCATTTGGGAAATGCGTGCTGGGAAGTTTCCTGTTTGATGTAACCCTCAGTCATTTATTTCAATTCAATGACCTCTGTTTGGTCTGCTAAAAGGAATATAGATGGGGGCTCATGAGCTATAGCATGACCTGGATCAACACAAACACAAGAGGAGAAGAGCCACAAGGAGGCAAATGCCCTAAGTGCCTTGTCTTGGATAGTGGTAGGACTGAAACTTGGAAAGGTTAGGGGTTGGTGGGGGCTGTGGAAGTATCCTTTGTCCTTGTGGGGAAAAACCTGGGGGCTGTGGATGGGTGTGTGCGAGCACATTCTATCAGTTTTTTTTTCTCCCCTCTCCTTTAGAAAAACCCCCCTCAACAAACTCGGCTACCACCCCAAACCTGCTGCAGTACTACTTCTGTCAAATACCTTCCAGCTCTGCTCCCCTTCCTTACACAGGCAGACCATTCCTCTGAATGAGAAATGCCCTCAAGATTTTGTTAATTTTTATAAAATCTGGATTATTTTTTCATTCCATTTTCATTTCTGAGTTGTCTCCCTTTCTCCCAACCATGCATTGGAGGCCAACATTATATATATATATATACCCACGCATGTGCGTATGTGTGTGTATAAGTATGTATGAGTATATTTACATATACTTACATATGTGCATATATTTATGAGTGCATGTATTTATGAGAGAGAGAGAACCATATAGTACGTTCTTCCGTATGTGAGTTCTTTCTCTGCAGGGGGATGGCATTTTTCATTCCTAAGTCTTTCATAATTGACTGGAATATTAATATTACTCTGAATAGCTTAGTCACTCACAGTTACTCTTTGAATAATATTGCTCTTACAACATGAGATGATTCATTGAGGACCCCTGCTCAAACTCTAATCAGCATTAGTGCATTATGATTTTAGAAGGGGTATTGATGGTTAGTAATTGTTTGAATAGATTCATTTAGTAATACATATCTAGTCAATCACCTAAGAACAGGTATAAGAATGAACAATATATTGCTTCATACTTTGTATAAGTCCCATAGGATTGTAGATTCTAGTAGGAGGAGCCCATCCATCTTGTGACCACCTAGTTAGTGGAAATATTTTCTGTTTCACCCAACCTGTGACCCTGCTGACATAGCATTTTTTGTTGTTGTTTTTAAAATTACTCTTTATTTTAAACATTCTTTTCTTTTAAATTTTGAATTCCAAATTCCCTCTTTTCCTCCAACTCACTGAGAAAGCAAGCAAAATGAGACCAATTAATATACAAGTGAAATCATGACATATCATTTTTGCTTATTTTAGCTTATGCGTCATATGTCAACTGATGGAATTCTGTATTTTGTACAGTGGTTTTGCAATGTCTAGGTAATAAATCTGGTATCAAACCCTATAAAAATAGGGCCTGGGAAGGAGGGGGTATCTCAGATGCCGAGGAAGATCTGAGGTCTTCTTCATTAGAGAGGCCCACGGACCCTTTAATCAACTGTCACTGGCTCAAAACTCTGCCTCAGTCTTTTTGATTGGAGGTTGGACAATTTTAATCCCCATAAACATACTCTTAATTCTGCTCCTTTCACTCTGCATGCCCTAGAGATTTTGTTTCAATAGTCAATGATGGAAGTTTCCTATTTTTAGGGGAGAGATCACCTGGAGGGACATAGGAGGCTGGGTTCCCTCATCTCTCTTTCTCATCCAGCCCCTACCCCTCACTCTGTCTGAACTGCAAAGGTGAGTAAACTGAGGCCCTGACACCTAATCCCCAAGAAATAAGTGTGGCCATAATAAGTTGTAAAAGATGCCTTCTAGGAAAGGTGTGGACCCATGATGGTTGTTTTCCCTCTTCCAAAGAGCAAGTTAGACCTTGGAATGGTAACTGAGTTTTCTAGGATTGGCATGTCAAAGGCAAGTGTTTGTAGATGCCTGGATGGAAGCACAGATGGGAAGGGCTTCAGGTCCTATTGGATGCCCACTTTTTCTCTCCCTCTTCCCATCCCCTACCTTTCCCTGTTCTCTGTTCACTCATTCCATCATGACTGTCCTCTGAGGCTAGATCCAGGAATCACCCTCTCGTCCTCATTTTGCCATCGATAGGATTGGCCAGGGAACCCGGGCCATTTTATTTCATTGAACTCTTCTTCCTTTTATCTTTCTTCTCTTTCTCCCCCCACCCCCCAAAATTTTTTAATTGCTCTTTTCCATTTCCCTTATCCCTTAAGGGAATGGACTTAAGGCTGAAGGAACTACCTCTTCTCTCCTCCCTCCCCTGAAAGAGAGAGAGGGAGAGAGAGACAGACAGACAGACAGAGACAGAAACAGAGACAGAGAGATGCACGAATGCAAACCTTGGGGTCTGGGTAACATTGTTGTCCACTGAGACCACATCCAAAGGATACCAGGCTTTTCAGGGTTCATCTCCACCTCCTCATTCATTCTTCAAACCAGAGAATAGAGCTCTGGCCTTGGAGTCAGGAGGACCTGAGTTCAAATCCAGCCTCAAACACTTGAAACTTACTAGCTGTGTGACCCTGGGCAAGTCACTTAACCCCAACTGCCTCACCAAAAAGCAAAAAACAAAAAAACAAAAACAAAAACAACAAAACAAAACAGAGAAACCCAGACTACTTTGTGGCATTGAACTCTTCTTTCCTGTATTATTCTCTCCCCTCCCTCCTTTCTCCCTGTTTCCCTCATCCCATCCTTGAGGGTCTTCACATAACAGCAATCTAATACCCCTAACCCACATATACAAAAGCCCTGAAGCTTGGGTGACCTGTCCTGGCCCCACCTGCCCCTACATGTCACAGGAAAGCACTTTAGTTTCTTTTTCTCCCCTTCAGTCCAGCATTCCGATGACTGTGGAGACTTGTGCAGCCCCTCACCCCAAGTAGTATGTCCTATTAGATGACTTTTAAAAGAGAGAGAGTCTGTCCTTGCTTTCTGTGCCATTTCACTCATCTTTTTTCTTCAATATGGTTCATCCTCCACCACTTTACCTGTGATTAGAAGAAAAGAAGGGACATGAGATCTGGGTGACCAACCCAAGACCTTATCAGGTAAGTGGGCTCCATCACTTGATAGCTCACTCTTTTTTTTCTTTTTTTATGATGCTGATGATGGCTCTTCTTAAGAAGGTGGCTAGTATTTTCTTCCTTAGTCTAGAAGCTGACAGGTGGGCCAGCTCTGGGACCCGGCTGGCTTGGTTACCCTGGCCTCTCCTTAGCCTCAGTCTGCCTGCCTGGCCCCATACTTCCCCACCTCCTTTGTCTCTCTGCATGCCTCCCTGCCTGACTGCCCACCTGCCCTTCTCAGCCATACTAGATGGGAAAAAGTTCCCAAGTAGCAATGGGATTCCCCGTCTGCCCCTCATCCAGACATTCAACAATCTCCTTTCCCTTCTGTCCCTAGGTCTTCTGCACCACTCCTCACCATGTCCCTGCCAGGCCTGCCAAGGAGTTCGGTGGCTGTGTGGCTGGATGGCCACATAGACTGCAGCTCATTGCTGCACAGATGGATAGATAGATTTGGGAAGCTGGGGAGCAGGTAGCCCACTTGTTATCTATATTACGAATTCCACGAAACCACTGTTGAATCGGGAAGAAGCTTTATGAACGACCTGGGAAAGCTGGGAGTCCTACATGTGTGAGAGCACATGTGACAGATGCACACCTTTTTATTCCCTATTCCCCTTCCCTTTCTCTTCTCTCCCCATCTCTCACCGGCCCCACAAATTAAAGATGCGATGTCTCGGCCTTGTGGATAGGGAGGTTGCCACCTGCATGACCCGGGGAGCTCCCTCGGCTTCCTCAGGCTCTCCTCACTCCCCCGGCACCTAGGCTGGCTCCCGGAATAAGGACAGGAAATGACAGCGGTTTCCACAAGAGCACTGTCTTTGGATGAGTCGGTTGCATTGCCAGGCGGGTCACCAGGCAACGGCCTCTCCGAGAAATGGGTGTCCCTAGCTGGCTGGATGATTTCAGGAAAGCCAGTGAGTGACCTGAGACAAAAGCCCAGTCATGGGGCTGGTAGAGAAGGGGACAGGAGGAAGACCAGTAGAGCTCGCCCCCCCCCCCCCCCGTAGATGGAAGGCTCTACTCCAATGTCCCAGGAGTGGCAAGGGCCCCAGGGGCAAAACCGCCTCCGAGGACGCGGCTGGCTGTGAGATCCTCGGCTTGGGGCTCGCTGGGGATAACCACGGGCCTCTTTCAAGGTCCCTTGGATTTATTCGCAGGTCACCTATTAACAGACAGGCTTGCCCGGACCTTTGGGAGTAAAGTCTCCTCTCTGGCTGGCCCGGAGAGTAGAAAAGAATGGCCCCTGCAGAGAAAGACCTCCTGGGGACTAAATGCAAAGGAAAGCGCAGTAATTAAACAACACACACACACACACACAAATCCTTTCTTTCCCCCGGGACACCAGTGAGTGCGGGGACAGAAAGGAAAGAGAGGAGCCCCGCAAAGTCCGAAGTGAGCTAGGGCGATCCACAGGAAGGGCCCGCTTCGCGTCCGGAGTCGCCGCCGCCGGCCCTGGGTTCCGGGCACCCTCCGAGCCCGAACCCCGGACCCCGGACCCCGACCTCACGGACCAACCCCAGCTCGGCAGACCCCGCGACTTGGACCCCCCTGGCGTCGATCCAGCCCACATCCGGCCCACTGCCGCTGCTGTTTGACTGGCGGCGGGGGTCACGAGAGGGGAGGCCACGGGAAGGAGGCCGACGGGCCGGCGGCCGCCGAGACCGGGGAGCGAGGCCGCCTCGTCGGGCCTCGCCCCTCGCCCAGGAGTGAGAAAGCCCTGCGCCTGTCGTCTTCCTGGACCTCGGAATACGGCGAGAGCTACTGCGGGGGGCTGGACAAAGCACTCGGGGGCCGCGGCGGCGGAGGACCCCCACGGGGCGAGCGCCGAACGGATGCACGAGTCCCCTCCGGCGTCTCCCCCGGCTCCGCCCCCTGCCCGCCCCCCGGGGGGGGTGGGGGGGCGGGGAGGTGCCGGCGGCGGCCCGGGTTGGATGTGTTGGCTCGTGCTTGTTCTTAGGGAGAACTGGACCTCGATCGTGCCGGACCAATTGCTTTGTGACCCTTCTCCACACCCCACCCCCACACCAAGTTTCGTGCAGCACCGCGGTCCTCTTTGTGAGTTCGAATCCCGCCTCCGACGCTAGGTGTGTGGCCCTGGGGAGGCCGCTTTGCTTGCCTCAGTTTTTCATCTGTAAAATGAACTGAAGAAGGAAATGGCAAACCACTCCAGGATCTCTGCCAAGGACACCCCAAAGGGATCGTGAAGAGTCATAAACATCTGAAAAAGGAGTCAATAACAATTTCAAGGCAACCGTATTATTGCCACTGAATGTCGTGACCCTCAACCTCTCCCCTTGTCGCCTCTTTCCCTGGCTTGGAGGTTTTGCTAATTTGTTGTTCTTTTTTTTTCTGGCTTGCTTCTATCTAGTTGTTTATTTCTTCCTTTCCAGTTTTCCCATCTCTGTTAAGCTGTCAAACAGACTCCTTTTCTCTTCTCTCTAAACTTCATTAATTTTTTTAAAATTTTCGTTTCCTTTGCCTTTTTCTGAAAAACAATCTCTTTCCCTCAAAAGTTTCCTTATTTATCTTCTCTTTCTTTATACTCTAGAGTTTTATTCTTTAATTCACATCCTTTATATTTATTTAGTCTTGTATTCTCTATATTCTTCATAAAATGAAACCTTTTCAGGCTCCGATCTTGGACTCCCTCTTATAAAGTTTCTTTTATTACCTTGTATAATTCATCCCTTCCCCCTCCCCTTTTCTTGCATGTCACTCTTAGAAATTCCCAATCACCTGTAGGTGATAGGATATTGTCCCACGGTAAGGATTTTCCAGTGTCTATGATTTTGTAATTCATTATTGACCTTTGCCCTCCCCTTGATCGTTTTTTCTCATTTATCTGGAAAATTTTTTCCCCTTGGTCCATACCCTCCTACTCTTCCAAGTGGCAGTTGCTCCAAGGAAGCATCAAATACCTACAGACAATACTCATTGTAAAGTCCTCATCTTTCTTTATATAATATCTCTCTTTTCCTATAGGTTTTATCCATCCTTTTATGTACTTTCTCTTTCTGTAATTTAGTCTCATAAAAATATTAGTCATCTGTAGACAGGATGTTGTGAGATTTATTCTCTCTCTCTTCCCCTTTCTGTATTTTTTTTTAACTCTATAAATTCTTGCAATGCAGGTACTCATACTCAGTGCCCGTGGGATTCTGAAATAAAAGCTGGAATGGGGGAGTAATGGCTTTCCTGAGTAGAAACCAGTGGATTGTTGTTTGGGGTGTGTGTGTGTTTGTGTGTGTTGGGGTCACTGGGGAAGGGGATGACAAACAAGGGAAATCATCTTGCAAACTGCCTTACTATACTTTGATGTACCCAGGCAGTGCAACTTTGGTTTGATGATGTTGGCCTGAGTTAAAACACACACACACACACACACACACACATACACACACACACACACACACACACACACACACACACAGTTTTTCTCCATGTCTGGCTTCTTAAAGCAGTCAGAAGTAATTGAATCCTCTCCCCCCCTGTGCCCTTGTCAGTAGGTTCAGAAGCTTTCTCATTCTTTCCCTAGATTGGGGGTGGAGGGAGTCTTTCCAGATGGACCCATGTTAGCTTCTTCTAGATTCCTTTTAGCTGGAAAGCAGGAAAATGCACCCAGCCCCAGGAGCTCCCTGCTGCTACTGCTATTGCTGTCAGTCAGGAGGGAAGAGGGCTGGGAGCTTCCCTGGGCTCCCCTTGCCTCCTCCCTGGTAGCAGTCTCCTGGTAGCTAATGGTTTCCACCCTGGGAGGTTCCTCTGGAGAGAGCACTTAGTTGGAACCCTTGGGTGTAGCCTTTTGACTGGGTCCAAATTTTACAGAACAAATCCTTTTATTAAGGGGATTTGTTGGGTGAAGTTTGGATTCAGTCACAGGGCCACACTTGAGGACCCAGAGGGCCACATGTGGCCTCACCCCTGGACTATACCCGGCCTGTGCTGCTGAGAAGTATAGAAATTTAACTTACCCTAGAGGGATGGAGGGGGGGAAAGGTGGAAAAAAAAGGGAAAGGGATGGGGCTGAGAGAAAGGATGGCAGATTGAAGGAGGTAGTGGCCAGAAGCAAAACACTGGTGAAGAAGAACAGGGTGAAAGGAGAAATAAAAGTATGAACAGGGGAAAAAATAAGTTGGAGGGAAATACACAGTAATCATAACTGTGGATATGAATGGGAAGAACTCTTTCATAAAATGAAAGCAGATAGCAAAGTGGATTAAAAACCAGAATCCTACAATATGTTGTTTACAAGAAATACATTTGAAGTGGAGAGATACACACAGAGTAAAAGTAAAAGGCTGGAGCAGATTATATTATGCTTCAGCTGAAGTAAAAAAAAAAGAAAAAAGCAGGGGTAGCAATCCTGATCTCAGACAAAGCAAAAGCAAAAAAATAAATCTAATCAAAAGAGATAAGGGAAGAAATTACATCTTGCTAAAAGGTGCCATAGACAATGGAGTAACATCAACACTAAACATATATGCCCCAAGTGGTATAGCATCCAGATTCTTAGAGGAGAAGGTAAGTGAGTTATGGAAAGAAATAAACAGCAAAACTGTGCTAGTGGGGGACCTCAACCTCCCCCTGTCAGAACTAGATAAATCTAACCACAAAATAACCAAGAAAGAAGTTAAGGAGGTGAATAGAATTTTAGAAGAGTTAAATGATAGACCTCTGGAGCAAATTGAATGGGGACAGAAAAGAATATACCATTTTCTCAATGGTACAAAAATTGATCATGTATTAGGGCATAAAAACCTCACAATCAAATGCAGAATGGCAGAGATAATAAATACATTTTTTTCTGATCATGATGCAATAAAAATCACATGTAATAAAGGGCCATGGAAAGATAGGCTAAAAATTAATTAGAAACTAAATAATCTAAACCTAAATAATGGGTGGGTCAAAAGACAGATAATAATAAAAATAATCCATAATTTCATCAAAGAGAATGACAATTATGAGACAACATATCAAAACTCATGGAATGCAGCCAAAACAGTTCTTAGGGGAAATTTTATATCTCTAAATGCTCACATGAATTAAAATATTGAAAGACGAGATCAATGAACTGGGCATGCAACCTAAGAAAACTACAAAAAGAACAAATTTAAAATCCCCAATTAAATACTAAATCAGAAATCTGAAAATCAGAGGAGAGATTAATAAATATTGAACTAATAAATAAAACTAAGAGCTAGTTTTATGAAAAAAAATACACAAACCTTTAGTTTATTTGACTTAAAAAAAGAAAGAAGAAAACCAAATCATCAGTATTAAAAATGAAAAGGGTGAATTCACCACCAATGAGGAAATTAAAGCAATAATTAGGAGCTATTTTGCCAAATTGTATGCCAATAAATCTGACAATCTAAGTAAAATGGATAAATATTTACAAAAATATATATATATAAATTGCCCAGATTAACAGAAGAGAAAATAAAATACTTAAACCCATTTTAGAAAAAGAAACTGAATAAGCTATCAATGAACTCCCTCAGAAAAAATCTCTAAGGCCAGATGGATTTACAAGTGAATTCTACCAAACATTTAAAGATCAATTAATTCCAATATCATATAAACTATTTGGGAAAAATAGGCAAAGAAGAAGTCCTACCAAATGCCTTTTATGACACAAATATAGTGCTGATACCTAAACCAGGAAGAGCTAAAACAGTGTAGACCAATTTCCCTAATGAATATTGATGCCAAAATTTTGAATAAACTATTAGCAAAGAGATTACAACAATTTATTAAGAGGATAATACATAATGAGCAGGTGGGATTTATACCAGGAATGCAGGGCTGGTTCAGTATTAGGAAAACTATCAGTATAATTGATCATATCAAGAAAAAAAACTAAACAGAAATCATATGATTATCTCAATAAATGCAGAAAAAGCTTTTGACAAAATATAGCACACATTCCTATTAAAGACACAAGAAAGCATTGGAATAAATGGAATTTTCCTTAAAAATAATAAGCAGCTTCCATCTAAAATCATCAGCAAGCATTATATGCAATGGGGATAAGTTAGAAGCATTCCCAATAAGATCAGCGGTGAAACAAGGATGCCCATTACCACCACTGTTATTCAATATTGTACTCGAAATGTTGGGTTTAGCAATAAAAGAAGAAAAAGTAATTGAAGGAATTAGAATTGGCAATGAGGAAACAAAACTGTCACTCTTTGCAGACAATATGATGGTATACTTAAATAATACTAGAGAATCAACTAAAAAACTACTTGAAACAATTAACAACTTTAGCAAAGTTGCAGGATATAAAATAAACCCACATAAATCATCAGCATCTCTATATATTACCAACAAAGCCCAGCATTGAGATAGAAAGAGAAATTCCACCTAAAATAACTGAAAACAACGTAGAATATTTGGGAGTCTACCTGGCAAGACAAACCCAGGAACTATATGAAAACAATTACAAAACACTTTTCACACAAATAAAGTCAGATCTAAACAATTGTAAAAATATCAGTTGCTCATGGGTAGGTTGAGCTAATAGAATAAAAATGGCAATTCTATGTAAATTAATTTACTTGTTCAGTGCCATACCAATCAAATTACCAAAAATCATTTTATAGAGCTGAGAAAAATAATGACAAAATTCATCTGGAAAAACAAAATGTCAAGAATATCAAGGGAATTAATGAAAAAAATGCAAGGGAAGTGGACCAGCCTTACCAGATCTATTATAAAGCTGCAATTATCAGAACTATTTGATACTGGAAAAAAATAGAGTGGTGGATAAATGGAATAGGTACACAAGATACGGTAGTCAATGGCTATAGTAATCTACTATTTGAAAAAGCCAAAGACTCCAGCTTCTGTGATAAGAACTCACTATTTGACAAAAACTGCTGGGAAAACTGGAAAATAGTGTGGCAGAAATGAGGCATAGAACAGCATCTCAAACCCTATAGCAAGATGACATCAAAATGGGCGTAAGATTTAGATATAAAAGGTGACACCAAAAGCAAATTAAGAGAGCAAGAAATAGTTTACCCCTCAGATCTCAGAGAAGGGAAAAATTTATGACCCCAAAAAAGAAATAGAGAACATTATGAAATGCAAAATGGATAATTTTGATTGCATTAAATTAAAAAAGTTCTGTCCAAACAAAGCCAATGCAACCAAGATTAGAAGGAAAGCAGAAAGCTGGGAAACAATTTTTACAGCCAGTGTTTCTGATAAAGGCCTCATTTCTCAGATACACAGAGAACTGAATCAGATTTATAAGAACACAAGTCACAGGGCAGCTAGGTGGCACAGTGGATAGAGCAGCGGCCCTGGAGTAAGGAGGATCTGAGTTCAAATCCGGCCTCAGACACTTGACACTTACTACCTATGTGGCCCTGGGCAAGTCACTTAACTCCATTGCCTAGCCAAAAAAAAAATTAAGAGTACAAGTCATTCCCCAATAGATAAATGGTCAAAGGATATGAACAGGCAATTTTCAGATGAAGAAATTAAAGCTATCTATAGTCATATGAAAAAAATACTCTAAATCACTATTGATTAGAGAAATGCAAATTAAAATGACTCTGAGGTACCACCACATCTATCAGATTTGCTAACATGACAGAAAAGGAAAATGATAATAAATACTGAAGAAGTGGGAAAATTGAAATACTACTGCATTGTTGGGGGAGTTGGGAACTGATCCAAAACTAGGCATATCCTTTGATCCACTACTAAGTTTGTGTGCCAAAGAGATCATAAAAAAGGGAAAAGGACCCACATATACAAAAATATTTGTAGCAGCTCTTTGTGTAGTGGCAAAGATTGAAAATTAAGGGGATGCCCATCAATTGGGGAATGGCTGAACAAGTTGTGGGAAATGAATGTAATGGAATACTATTGTGCTATAGGAAATGACGAGCAGGCCGATTTCAGAAAAACCTGGAAAGACTTACATGAACTGATGCTGAGTGAAGTGAGCATTGCACACAGTAACAGCATAATTGTGCAACGATCAACTATCATAGATTTGGCTTTTCTCAGCAATGCAATGATCCAAGAAAATTCCAAAAAACTCATGATGGAAAATGCTATCTATATCCAGAAGAAGAACTATGGAGTCTGAATGCAGATTGAAGCATACCATTCTCACTTTTTTGGTTGTTTTTTGTTTTTCCTTTCTTGTGGTTTTCCCTTTGGTTCTAATTCTTCTTTCACAACATGACTAATGTGGAAATATGTTTAACATGATTGGACATGTATAACCTTTATCAGATTGCTTGCTGTCTTGGGGAAGGGAAAGGGAAGGGAGGGAGGAAGAAAAATTTGAAACTCAAAATCTTACAAAAATGAATGTTACATGTAATTGGAAAAAAATACTATTGAGTAAAAAAAGAAAATTAACTTTTCTTCTGATGTGGATGTTATGAAATTATGAATTAAGCCATGGGAGAATGTTTAAAAACTTGTACATATTTAATTGGGCATATTTTACTGTATTTTTTATTTTATTTTTAATTAATGGAATAAAACAAGCATTTCCATAACATAATACAATAAAAAAGATCATTGCACATGAAACTGCAAATCTATTATGCACAGCTTGCTATTCCTTTTAAATATAAATCAAAACTAATATGTATATTTCTTTTTTTCTCTCTCCCCCCACAACCTCCTGTCCTAAAGATGGCTACCATAGAGATAGACACAAATAAATCATTCTAAACATACTTATATTTATCAGTTCTTTCTCTGGACTCAGACAGCATCTTTCTTCACATGTCCTCTATAGTTCATTTGGGAATTTATAATTGTCAAAATAACCCATTCTCTCAAAGTCATTCTGTAAATAATATTGTTGTCACTGTACACAATGTTCTTTTGGTTCTGCTTATTTCAGTCTTCATTATTTCATGCAAGTCTTTCTATGTTTTTCTAAAACCATTGAGCTCATAATTTCTATATTCCATCACAATCATATATCACAACTTTTCCAGCAATTTCCCAATCGATGGGCATCCCTGCAATTTCCAGATCTTTGCCAACAGAAAGAGAGCTACTACAAACATTTTAGAACATAGGTTCTTCTCCTTTTTCCCTAATTATCTTTGGAAATTGACCAAGTAGTGGTATTGCTAGGTCAAAGGGTATAGGCAATTTAATAGCTCTTTGGGCATAGTTTCAAATCTCTCTCCAAGATGGTTGGATCAGCTCACAGATGCACCAACAGTAAATTAAAGTCCCAATTTTTTCCACATACCCTCCAACATTTGTCATTTTCCCCTTCTCTCATTTTGGCCCATCTGATAGGTGTAAAATGACATGTCAAGGTGGTTTTAATTTGCATTTCTCTCTAATCACTAGTGATTTAGAACAGTTTTTCATATGACTATAGATAGCTTTAATTTCTTCATCAGAAAACTGCCTGTTCATATACTTTGATTACTTATCAATTGGGAAATGACTTGTATTCTTATAGATTTGACAAAGTTCTTTATACATTTTAGATATAAGACCTTTATCTGATAAACTGTCTATAGAAATTTTTCTCAATTTTCTGCTTTCCCTCTGATCTTGACAACATTTGTTCTATTTGTACCTTTTTAAAAACTCTTTAATTTAATGTAATCAGAATTATCCTTTTTACACCTAACTTTGCTCTCTATCTCATTTATTCATAAAATGTTTGCCTATCCCTAAGCCTGATAGATAATATGTTCCATGTTCTTCTAATTTTCTTGTAAAATCTCTCTTTATGTCTAGGTCATCTATCCATTTTGACCTTATCTCGGTGAATGATATAAGATATTGTTCTATGCCAAGCCTCTACCACACTGCTTCCCAAGCCTCCAAAAAATTTCCACCAAACAGTGAATTCCTGTCCCAAAATCCCAAATCTTTTTATACTTGGCAAATACTAGATTTTGTTGTTGTTGTTGCTGTAAACTGTATTTCTACTGTATTCCATTGATCTGCCTTTCTATTTCTTAGACAGCACTAGACAGTTTTGATCATTACCGCCTTATAATACGGTTTGGTTAAGGGCTGTTACGGGGGCCCCTGGACCTACCTTTTTGAGTTGCCATATTTTCCAGAAACGCTGGACCTAGAGCACGGAGGCCCTGAATGTGTTAAGAAGACCCTTCCCCACCCCCACTCCCACCTCCACCCCTGCTCCCTGCCCCTATTTGTTGTTTGCACCCGAAGCTGGATTCCTTGTGTGTCCTTGAGAGGCAAGACAGGCGCCAGCCAGTCTGTGCCAGACTGGGAAAAATGCTTGTACAGCTGGAGTACTTTGCAGATAAGCAGACCCTCTTATCTTCATAGTCTAGCGGTTCCCAAGGGAAAAGAATGGACTTTCGCCATCGCCCTGTTCCTCCCCAACCTGGGGGCGTCAGGGGCTGGACAGGGTGGTGCTTTTGGGACTAAGCAGGCTGGAGGGAGGCAGGAAGTCTTTAAGCTGAGATCGCTCTGCCTTCCCTGGAGCGGAGGCTACGCCGCCTTGCCTGGAGCTGAGATCGCTCTGCCTTCCCTGGAGCGGAGGCTACGCCGCCTTCCCTGGAGCTGAGATCGCTCTGCCTTCTGGAAGCCAGCTCAGTGCATGCAGCTTCCAGGCAGATCTGAGCCAGGACCCAGACACATTGCCACTGGGTCTCATTCTCCTCATCTGACCTAATGGTGAGTGTCCTCCAGGTCTGCCAGAAGCACACCTTCCTCTGCTGGACCAACTCCCTATCTTTAAATCTTTTCCAGAGTCCCAGTCACTTCCTAACCATCCTGGCCGCATTGGGTCACACTTTCCCAAACTTCAGACTTTGCACATAGAAATCCAGGTGTCCTGCTTTAAGCCTTCCCTTCTCCCTGCCCCATCTGGTTAGAGATTCAGTCGTCCTGCCTTCAGAGGAGGCCCCTGGAAGGATCAGCAAGTCTTACCTGCTGCCCCCAGACCCTCCCTTGCATGCAGGTACCAAAGCTCTTTCCTGATCCCCCTTTTCTGAATCCATAGCTCTTGGGCTGGTTCCCTATCAGATCTCAGGCATTTATTTAGCTCCCTTGAGGGATTCCAAGCCGAAGCTGTACCAGAGGGTCCCCAGCTCCTTGTTAGACCGCAGAACACAGTCATCCTGCTTTCCCAGGCTCAGTGTCCACCTAGAACCCTCCTGCCACCCAAGTGTCCCTGACCTCCCTGATTTAAGTGTTGTTAAGGGGTTCCCTGAACTTGTCTTTTTGGGTTGCCATATTTTACAGAAACACTACACCCAGAGCATGAAGGAGGCCCTCAATGTGTCAAGCACAAAGTTCCCCCTGAGCTGACATGATTTGTCTTAGCATCCCAAGCTGGACTCCCTGGCCAGACTGTGGTAATGCTTTTCATCTGGGGTCCTTTGCAGAGAAGCAGACCCTCCTATCTTCATAGTCTAGCAGTTCCCAAGGAAAAACAAGGCTTTTGCCATCACTTTGCTCCTCCCTGTGGGGTAGTGATCTTGTCTTTTCCCCCCACCTTTGCTGCCCCATTCTCCCTCCCATGCCACACCCTTCCTGGTATCCACTCCTCCCATTATCCTGCTATTATAAAAATGTAAACTTCCGGAAAGACTGGGAATCCTTTGGGTTCCATATGCATGTTTATATCTCTTGTAATAAACCCGGTTTTCACATAGGTCTAGTGACACTGGTTGCCTGTTGACACCTGTGAACTATGTTAGACTGTCTTGCCTCCCAGACCCTACCTCTGTTCCCTTTCCCCAGGCCTCCTGCTTCCCTGGCCCCTCTTCTTTCAGAGCTCTCAGGTCCTCTACCAGGGGCCTGAATCCCAAACTAGGTTTTATCTCCCAGTCTCAAGCTTCCCTGGTCATTCCCCGGTGGCTCCATTCAAGAGCCCTCCCTATCAAACTTGCCTGACTTCCCTCCTTCCTAGGTCAAGCAGTCAGTCCGTTGTTTAGATAATGTGTATGTGAATCTGGGAGAGGGGATGCAAGGAGGGCAGAGGACCAATTGGAAGGACAGCTCTGACTCAGGAGCCATTGAGGCTTTAACTGGTCTCATCCCATCTGGGATACCAAGTCCCCTCTGCCTCTTGGGGCTCTGTAGGAGGATGGGAAAGGGAGGGTAGAAGAAGAATAAGAGAGGGCGGGAAGTAGTCTTCCTATTTAGACCATCTCCATTTCTGAGCCTGACCCTCCCTGCTGCCTCCCTCCCTCTACAGGTTGGAGTCTTTCTTTTCTTTTTTTTTTTTTTAATTAATTAATTTATTTTTAGTTTTCAACAGTCACTTCCACAAGCTTTTGAGTTTTAATTTTTTTCCCTCCTTGCCTCCCTCTCCAAAACAGCTTGCAATCTGATATAAGCTCTACGTATACATTCCTATTAAATATATTTTCATATTAGTCATGTTGTAAAGAAGAGTTAGAACCAATAGGAAGAACCACAAGAAAGAGGAAACAAAACAAAACAGTAGAAAAAAAAAGAGCAAATAGTATGCTTTGATCTGCATTCAGACTCCATAGTTCTTTCTCTGGCATTTTCCATCATGAGATTTTTGGAGATGTTGTAGATCCTTGCATTGCTGAGAAGGGCTAAGTCTATCAAAGTCAGCCATCACACAATGTGACTGTCATTGGGTACAATGTTCTACTGGTTCTGCTCACTTCACTCAGCATCAATCTATACAGGTCTTTCCAGGTTTTTCTAAAGTCCGCTTGCTCGTCATTTCTGATAGCACAATAGTATTCCATTACATTCACATACCACAACTTGTTCAGTCATTCCCCAATTGATGGGCATCCCCTCAATTTTCAATTCTTTGCCACCACAAAAAGAGCTACTATAAGTATTTTTGTACACGTGGGTCTTTTTCCCATTTGTATGATCTTTTTGGAATATAGCCCTAGAAGTGCTATTGCTGGGTCAAAGGGTATGCACACATAGCCCTTAGGGCATAATTCCAAATTGCTCTCCAAAATGGTTGGATCAGTTCACGGCTCCACCAACAATGCATTAGTGTTCCAATTTCCCCACATCTTCTCCAACATTTATCATTTTCCTGTTTTGTCATGTTGACCAATCTGAAAGGTGTGATGTGGTACCTCAGAGTTGTTTCGATTTACATTTCTCTGATCAGTAGTGATTTAGAGCATTTTTTCATATGATTATAGATAGCTTTAATTTCTTCATCTGAAAATTGCCTATTCATATCCTTTGACCATTTATCAGTTGGGGAATTTGTTGGAGTATTTCTCCTGAGGGCAGGGCCTGGGCCTTTGTAACTCCTTTGGGACCTCACCCTTTGTAAATCCCAGTAGGGCAGCCTCCAGCCTAGGAGAAGAGAGGAAAGACCTCTCTGCCTCTGAGATCTTTCTCCCTCCCCAGCTCAGTCTGCAGAGGACCAAGGACTGACCCAGGCAGGTACTGGGGCAAATCCAGACACCAAAACTGGAGGGAAATTAGATGTTTTGTTATAAGGTACAACAAATATCAGTCCCCCAGAGTATGAGCACCAAGGCAGTCAACCTAAGATTGAGGTAATGGATGGGGGAGATGGGCTTTTCTGTGCAAAGGCTGAGAAAGGAAGGACTTTCCAGGTGGCTCCAGGCTGTCTCATGGTTATCAGGCATAGAAGCAGAACATTCCACGATTGCTTGGGACTTCTGTGAGAGCTTTGGCTGCAGCTCTATGTGTGGGACCATAAAGGGTGCAGAAGCAGGTCCCTGGGTAGATAAGGTCCAGGGACAAGATGGAGGAACTTTTCAAAGTGGAGTCACTTTGGTTACTTTGCTACCAACGCAGGGAGCCTGGATTCAGAGGGAATGGCCCCTGGGAGCAGCTGAACCCAGCCCAGGTGAGTGCAGTCCATCCACAGACTTGGCCAGCGTCAGCAATCCAGACCATTTCCATAGACATAGAGAATGGTCTACAAAGCTGGCAATACCTGCCTTATGGATCGTTTCTGTACAAAAATAGGCATGGAATTGAATACAGTAGTAACAACACTGCCCTGCTCCATCTTCTGTGTTTTAAACAGATTCAGTGGCTCTCTGGTGTCTTGAGCACTACGCCCTCACTCCATGTTGCCCTCCCCTGTTTGTTTTTAAGTTCCCCTTCATTACAGCTGACTGTCCAGGGGGACCCCTTCACTCATTAGTCTCTATTACCGAGGAATCATATCTTTGCTCTCTTAATGCCTGCCTGGCATTGTTCCCTCCCCCCAACACACACAGCTTTCCCCCCTCCTCTTTGTTTCTTGTGGCAGAGCTCTACCCTATAGCAACTAGAGATCCAGAAAACCTCCTTCACCCCTAGTCTTGTCTGGACAGGCCTGGAGCAGAGCCCCAAAGGCTCCCGCAGCTCTTGTCCTTTGCAGCGCTGTAGTCAGAGCAGAAATTGTGCTCCTCCTTCTTCAAATTTCCCTCTGCCTCAGATCACACACACCTTCCCATGCCTCTCTGAATCCCTCTCATTTAGAGAGGCCCTAGAAAGGCCTGGGTATACAAGGCCAAGATTTCTCGTACAGAGATCTCTGGGGCTATCCTGCTGTACCTTTGTTTCTAAGACCAACCCTCACACAGTGATTGAACGCTGGATGACTTCTCTGCTGCTTATGAGAGGCTCCTGGGATTCTCATCCTTGCCTCTGCTGTTCCTGGGCACCAGGAATAGCATCACCACATACCATATTACTATATAGATTGACTTCCTGGTGGGACAATTTGGTCTACTCTGTGCAGAGTGTCTCATGCACTGGCAGAGGCCATGAGATCAACAGGGAAAAAAGGAAGGATTTTCAGAGTCGTTAGCATGTCATGGTACTTCAGGCAGTTTCTCAGAAATTTTGACTCTGCTGTAGGCTGCAGCAGGTCCTAGGCTGACCTGGGAAGGGAGTACTGGATGGAACTGACTCGAGCCAACACTCAGTTTAGATGTTAAGCAAAAATCAGACTCCTAGGTCATTCATCAGTTAAAAGGAACTTTATTTAAGTGTAGCATAAAAAGGACATTCAATAGAGATACAAGAGTTCTTTAGCTTGAGTAGACAAGGCTTCCCTTACCTCCACATGGGAGCCCATCTGGTCAGCAGAGGAAGGTGTGGCAGTGTGCCATTTGGGGAAATCTGTCATATAGGAAGGACCCTGATTTCACATGGGTAGACTTTTATGCCTTTAGTTTACCAGGCAGCCACAAAAATTTGTCCAGAGACCCTCAGAATACTGCTTGGAGGGAGGCGCGTGGAGCCTTTGCCCAATATGTAAGTCAGGTCCTCAGTACAGCTTTGTCCTCTTTCAGGGAAAAAAAAAACAAATAAAAGAAAAACAAACCATGTGGCAGGGAAAGTACAGAACCCCAGTAAATAGCAGCCTTTTCACAAAAACTGATAAACTGAATCGAGAGGATGCTACCTTTGTCAGCCATCAGATGAGTGGTCAATCTAATTTCAAGACTAGCTGAAAGAAGAAAACCAGGATCTATTATGAAGCACCTACTAAGTGCCAGGCACTGAGTTAAGCACCTTATCAATATCTCCCTTGATCCTCACAAGAAACCCTGGAAGGTAAGTGTCATTATCCCCATCTTATTTTTATTTATATAGTCAGGAACCTCTGGGGAAAATATTTTTACTTTATTTTTTTATTTCAAATTTTGTTTTTTTACATAAAAAATTATGATTCTCTCCTTTCTCTTTCT